ATTAGATTAAAAAGCCTCTAAGGCCCTTTCCAGCTCTAAACCTATGACCTCATTATCTTTCAACTCTATAGTCTGTCAGATCCTGTTTTCCATATAGCAACTAGGTCATCTCTTGCTTTGAGAATGCAGTTTGTTCATCACCTAACAAATAAAAATCCACCTCACCAGAGCCTACCTGAATGAGCTCCTGAGCTCAACAGACTGAATGCCCCAAGCACACACCCTCAGGCCATATTTTATAGTTATATCTCATTCCATCAAAATGAAGGGAACCCTGCAGCTATAAACCTTCAGGTTCTAGGTTGATCTTCTCATCTAGCCAGAATGTTCTTGACTAAGTGATGTGATTTCTACCCCCCAGATCTCCCCAATCCTCACATCACAGACTCCAATCCCCACAATAGATGAGCTGTCGACCATCCAGGAAAAACTCAAGGCCACACAGCAAGAAGTTAAGGCCAAATACAAACTGGCCAATACAAACTGGCAGTGCACTGGCATCAGACCACTGAGGAGACTCTGCAGTTAGGCAGATACAGACTCCTGACCTGGAATCACTGGTCTGCTCATCCTTGGAAGATGCTGGAGTATTACTCTATCAGAATTTCATTGTCACCCTAGATTGGAAAATCTATAGTCTTGCCCCTTAAACTCTCATTATTCAATTGTTTCAGTCATGTCTGAATCTTCCTGACCCCACGTTGGGGTTTTCTTGGCAAAGATGCTGGAGTGATTTGTCATTTCCTTCTCCAGCTCATTTGACAGATGAGAAACTGTGGCAAACAGGTTTAAGTGACTTGCCCTGGGTCACACAGCTAGTAAGGGTCTGGGGCTAGATTTGAACTCAGGAAGATGAGTTTTCCTGATTCCAAGCTTGGTGCTCTATCCACTGCATCATCAAGCTGCTGCTTAAACTCTCATGGAAAGTGCTTAATAAAGTGCTTGTTGACTCGTTCCACATTCATGGTATTTTTCACCAATGGCTGATCTATGACACATAACTAGATCTTAACCCTCCAACCCACGACCCCTCTTTCACGACCAAGTCAGGTTGAAAGGAAGGAAGAAGTCATGAACAAGGCATGCTGGACTCCAGAAAACAAGAGGGGAACCTCCAGCGTCTTGTCCCCTGGAAGGGTTCTAATCCAGAAAATCAAACCAGGTGGTTGGGAAACCCCACACAATGCTTTTTGGTACATGTTCCCTATCGCTTTACCTCCACCAAACTGAAGCTTCAGGGTTAGGAAGTCATCTTAGGAGGAGTGGTAGTGGTTTTAGTTCTCACTGGCATTTTCTAGGTTATGTGAGCAACAAAATGGAAAATTAAACATTTTCTCTGATCTCCATGACCTCTCAAATCTCTCCAAAATAAATTAGGAGCCATAGATAAAGAAATTTCAGCTGTCTCCATGGTCTAGGACACTCAGAATCCAAAAGGTTTAAGAAAAAAATCCAAAGCCCATGAACCCAAGTCACTGACCCTACCTCCCATGCTACTGGCAGTAAGAATGCATTAGCAGGTCCAAGGATCCAAGGCTTACAACAAAACCCACTCAGTCTCCCCTCTTTCCAGTGCCATGTAGACAGCCCCCAGCTCCAGTTTGCAGAACCTTGCTCTGCTTTAATAGACAGCCAGTATGGTCATAGCCCTTGAAGTGCAAAAGTCTGCCAGGGAAAGACAACCCCATAGCATCAGTGCAGCAACACTGATTTACAGTGCCAGTCCAGAGAACTGAGAAACAGAGGGAGCAGGACAGGACAATGGGACAGAGAAGTCTGTGAAACACTTTACTAAGCCTTCTACTAAACCTGAGAGGGAAAGCACAGCTTCTAGATGGTACTGGTTCTGACAACCGAAAAGTCACTTGGAATAACCTAGGTTAGTTAACTAGGAATTGCTCAGTGTGGGAGGAGCCTGAAAAGCTTTCCAGACCCAAAGGAAACCACCATATGAAGGAAGGGAGTCAGAAAGTGAGCAAAGGGAAAACTGGGGTGGGGGGAGAGGAGAGAGAGAGAGAGAGAGAGAGAGAGAGAGAGAGACTGAAATTACCAAAGAAGAAGAAAAGAAATCACCCAAGAAGAAAAAAACCCAAAGACTTTGAACAGAAACAGATAAATCAACAGGGAAAACATTAACTGAAGGAAATATGGCCTCCAAGATCTAATAAACAAGGTCAGAGATCTATGAATAAATATTAAAAAAAGAAAAAGGAAAGCGATCCAACACTTGATGAGAGAGAGGACCCCGTGGAATGTGAGGAAAACATGGAACAACAACATGGTATCCCTGAGTGTTTCAAAAGAGAAATTAAAATTATGGGTTCAGGATTTATGGCCTACACAGCAAAAATAATGGAGAGAATAGAAAAATTCAAATCTTCAATGACAAGTCTCACCAAAGAACCAAAAGAAAGAATGCAAATGTACAGAAGTGAAGGACAATCTAGAAGAAGAAAAGCAAACATTTTTTTAAAAAAATAGCATTAAAAGAAAATAAGCCCACTATGCAAGCAAACTCTGCTCTGGATTATAGGATGCATAGACATAACCTAAGGACCAAAAGAACAGGACAAAAAACTTTAACATTATAATGCAGGAAATAATAGGAGAGAACTGCCAGAAACTTCTGAACACATAAATAAAATACCAATTGATAGAATACACGGACCACCTCCAGAAATAAGTCATGAGTGAAAACTACAAGATACATGGGTTATATTTAACACTTCAATTCAGAAACAAGTTCTGTGAGTGAACTGGTGAGGTGTCCTCTTTAAAAGACAAACAGTGGGACAGCTAGGTGGCGCAGTGGATGGAGCACCGGCCTCAGATTCAGAAGGACCTGAGTTCAAATCCAGCCTCAGACACATAACACCTACTAGCTGTGTGACCCTGGGCAAGTCACTTAACCCCATTGCCTAGCTAAAAAATAAATAAATAAATAAAAGACAAACAGTAGTGTCGCTGCCATAAACCAACTCACCATTAAAAGAGAGCTATGCTCTGCAACATGTCATTCTGTGACTTACTTTCCCATGCCCTCAGAAGTGTTTCCCCAGGACCTGATCATAGCTTGCATCTGTTTCTTCAGCTCATCTCAGTCACATTTCTGGCTTTTCTGCTTACCTCTTACACCCAGCTTGGATAGCCTAAGCATCCATATGAAAAAATCACTGGACGTAGGTTCTAGTCTTGTCTCTGCTATCCTAGTGAGTGGGTGACCCTGGGCAAGCCCCTTAACTCATCTGGGTTTTTGCCTTTCTTTGTATCCCCAGTGCTTAGCATAGCTGTCGGTACATAAGAAACACTTAACAAATATTTGTTTGACTGATTCTCTGGGCCTCAGTTTCCTCCTCTGTAAAATAAATGAGTTGCACTATGGTGTGTCTTGCAGCTTTTAAGGGTACAAACCCATGATCCATCCATGGTTACTACTGCACCAATAACCTGTATTTGCTTAAGACCAGATTCATTGTTTGTGATGTCCCAATCCATTTCTTTTTTCTTTTTAATTGAATACCAATCTGCCAAGGAAGTTAGCCTGTGCTATGTTACTCAGAGTTCATTTCTCTGCCTATATGTAGCACTCATGCCTTCACCCAACTGTCTAGCTCTTCCCACCATCTGTGTGATGTTCTTAACACATAACTTCCTGCCACCTAGTGGTAGGATGTGACAAGCACTGCCTCTATCTTCCTTAGTCAGGCTATTATGGCACCATGATTTCATTTGTGCTGTCCCAGTCAATAGGGAGTGATAATGGGAATATGGAATCATGGCGTGGAAAGGATTAATCCTGGAGGCCAAGTAGCATCTGAACAAGGATGTCTTTTACTAGAGAGAGTGACTTACCACAGTTTCAAGAGAGCTATCCTTAAAGCCAGGAAGCTCTGAGTTTGATTTTCACCTCTGAGATATACTGTGACCCTGGGAAAATCATTTAACCTCTCAGTGCCCTAGACAACTCTCTAAATTAGAGAGAAGGTGTAGCTCTTTGTTAGTAGATGGTGTTCCCTCTCCTGGGAGTTCCCCATACCAATGAAATCACGGGTCCAATCCCTATCCTATCCCCCAGCATTTAGCATAATGTCTAAGCACACAGTAAGTGATTAATAAATGCTTGTTGGTCGATTGATTTAAGGTCTCCAACAAATGATCATTCAGCCTCCACTTGAAGACCTCCAGTGAAGGGAGTTCCTGCCTCCTAAGGCAGTCCATCCCATTCTTGAATGGCTCTAATAGTTGCAAAGCTTGTCTTGGTGTGAAACTGCCTCCCTACTCTGCCCTCCATTACCAAAAGGCCAAAGGAGGGGGAGAGGGGCAGGGGTCATATCTTGCTTATTTTAATTGTAAACAAATGAGTTCTGATGATAGGATGTGTGTGTTAAGCTATGAATTTGTGAGCATTAAGGCTATTCCCTGTTAACTCACAGGCTTTGTTGAAGTTGGGGGTACCCTAGTTTGAGATACTAGGTCCTGACAACACATTCTTGCTATGTACTGGTCATTCCTTGCTGAGGGCATGTTGGATCTCATAGAATTTCATAGTTGGAAAGGCATTTTAGAAGCCATCCAGTTTAACCCAGGCCTGAGAAAGAATCCCCTCTACCTTTGTTCAAAAATGCTATTTAGATTACAATATTCAGCATGAGTCCATTTATGCCTCTTACTGTTTTTACATAAAGAAATATTTTATTTTGTCCAAAGCCCCTTCTGCACCTATGTATGTTATCCTATGACTTTTATTATTTTTATTAATATGGGTTATTATAGTTTTTCAATACTAAACCAACCCTGCATTCCTGGTAAAAATCTGACTTAGTCATAGTGCATAATGTTTTAAATATGTTATAATAGCCTCTTTGTTACTATATTTTTGTCTCAATAATCACTCAAAATATTGCTCTAACTTTTTTTCTCCACTTTATCTCTCTTTGTTGTTGAGTCCTGTCTGACTCTTTGTGATCCTGTAGACCATATACTGTCCAATGGGGATACGGATGTAGTTTACCATTTCCTTCTCCAGTGCATTAAGGTAAACAGAGATTAAGTAACTTATCCAGGATCACACAGCTGGTAATGTCTAAGGTCAGATTTGAACTCAGGTCTTCCTGACTCCTGGCCAAGTGCTCTATCCATGAGCCACCTACTGCCTCACTATCCCCCTTTGGTTTAGGTATTAGGACCATATTTGTCATAAAAGGAGTATGGCACAATCCTTTCTTTCTCATTTTTACAAATAATTGTATGAAATTCAATTAATTATTTTTTGAATGGTTGATAGAATTAACTTCAAAAATTCATCTGGTCCTTTTTTTTTTCTTTAGAAGTTCCTTTAAGACTGCTGTTCAATTACTTTTTTTTCTGAGATTGGGTTAAGTTAACCATTTCTTATTCTACTAGTCTAGATACTTCATATTTTTGTAATTATCCATTTCATTTATGAGTATTATTGGCATGTAATTAAGCAAAATATTTTCTAATAGTTTCCTTTATTTTCATTTGTTATAAATTCTCTTTTATTTTTTAACAATATGGTTTTTGGGGCAGCTAGGTGGTGCAGTGGTTAGAGTGCCAGCCCTGGAGTCAGGAGGACCTGAGTTCAAATCCGGCCTCATACACATACACTAGCTGTGTGACTTCAGGGCAAGTCACTTAACCCCAATTGCCTCATAAAAAAAAATTGGTTTTCTCTTTTATAACAGGTTATCTAAAAATTTATCTATTCTATTAGTTGTGGGGTGTTTTGTTTTGTTTTTTTTTTTTTTCAAAAGACCAACTCCTGGTTTTAATTATCACTTCAATGAGTTTTCTGTTTCCAATTCTATGTCTTCTTTGATTTTCAGAATTTCTTTTTTGTATTTTGTTTTGTTTAGTCTAAGTCATGTCCAACTCTGTGCGATTCCATTTGGGGTTTCCTTGGCAAAGGTACTAGAGTAGTTTGCCATTTCCTTCTTTAGCTCATTTGACAGATGAGGAAACTGAGGCAAACAGGGTGAAGTGACTTGCCCAGAGTCACACACCTAGTAAGTATCTGAGGCTGGATTTGAACTCAGGAAGATGAGTCTTCCTAACTCCAGGCCCAGTGCTCTATCCTGTGCACCACCTAGAGGTCCTGATTTTTGTGTTTGGTTGGGTTTTTTTTTTATACATATCCAATTTATTTATTTGCTCTTTCTTCTATTGATGAAAGGGTTTAAAGATATCAACTCTCTCCTAAAGACTACTTTAGCCACATCCCAAAAGTTTTGATATGTTCTCTCACTGTCACTTTCTTTAATGTAATTCTATGTTAGTTCTTGATCTTTGACAGACCAATTATTTAAATTATTTAGTCTCCATTGGTTCTTTTAAGTGAAGGAGATTAGAGATTATGACCTTGAGTTTAGAAAAATCAGGAGAATAAGCCACTGAGAGGTCTGAGAATGAATTCCGTGTTCAGATTTGCAGCCACCCAACCCGATTTTGAGGCCCAGAGATGAGAAGAGAGGAGCAGTCTGAATTGCAGTATCCAGCCCAGAAATGACTGAGACAACGACTTATCTAATAACAGTGCCTCGTTTGGATGTGAATTTCCTGACACCAGTGCATTAAGTCTGAGCCCAATCTGCCCAAAGATTGAAGTGATATAGAAGAAATTGTGCCCCCTACTCAGGTGTTGGGGGAAGGGTTTACACTTCTTTACTTTCTATCTTCAAAATGAATATCCCTTTATAAAAACTAAATAATCACAATGATCCGTCACAGAAATAGTCTGTTACACCCCTCCCGCTCCTCTTCCTCCCAATGTCTGATTCTTTCACTTCTCCAATTTTTCCTTTATGATCCACCCTTCAAAGATAAAGTTTTGCTTGTGACTGTTGCTTCCCCAGCTCTGTTCTCCCTCTCATATTCTTCTTCCCTTTCCTTGTCTCCAGTAGCTGGGCAGCTAGGTAAAGCAGTTGACAGAATCACGAAGTTCTGGGTCTGGAATCAGGAAAACCCGAGCTGTTGACAGGGAAGTATCAGTAGAAAGTCCCCCACCTCCCTTACCCCATATCATATAGTGGGAAGGTGGCTTCCCAAATGGGATTCTGATCCCCTGAACTTTTTCTTTTCTAGAATTCTACCAATATTGAGACTTTCAGGGCAGGATCTGACTTTCTCAGTCCCTAATTCCTTTGTCCTAGGGAAGTTTGCTGGAGTTTGCAAAGATCCAAGACCTCTCGGTTGAGAATTGTTTAGCAATGTTTTTCCTGTCTCTGTCCCTATCTCTGTCTCTTTTTGTTTCTCTCCCCTCCTCTTCTGCTTCTATCTCTCTCTCAGTCTCTTGGTCTCTCTCTGACCCTCTCTAACTCTCTCTCTATCTCTCTTGCTCTGTCTCTGTCTCTCTCTCTCCCTCCCTCTCTGTCTCTCTGTCTCTGTCTGTCTCTTTCTCTCTATCCCTCAGTCTCTCTCTGTCTCTCCTCCTCCTGCCCTTTAGCTTATCTATTCCAGGATATAAAGCAAGTTAAAAAGGACTTTGTTTTTGAGATGAAGAATATCTCATCTCCAAAGGGTAGGAGAGTAATACAGAGCAAGGACTGAGCCTGGGGCAAAGAACCCTAGAGCTTCTGTTTACCCAGGATGGGACCTGTTGCTCAGCATCCTGAAGATTCTCCATCCAGAATTCGGTGACCTTAATGTTTCCCTACCAGGGAATGGTTCAACCATGGATTCTCCTGGCTACCTCCTCCTTGAGTAGTTTTCCATAGTCCCCCAGAGGACATCTGACATTCACCATCTTACATCATCTTCTGCCACCTTTCCTGGTGCCATACTTCCAGGTTCCTCCTCATAGCTTCAGAAACAGGAGACATGCATTGTTCAAATATATACCTGGGGAAGTTGCCCTTGCCATCCACCAGTTTCCCTGAACTCACATGGAAATATCAGGAAGATGAGGAAAAAAGCAAAGGTAAGCCACGGATTAGTCAGGTCTAAGTATTGGGGAATGAGACTTGGGGAGGAAAAGGCTCATAGCCCTGCCCAGACTTCTGAGCTGAGGTGGTGGAGAGAGGGAGGTGAGAAGGGAAGATGCTAAAGCCCTAGTATAAGTTCAACATTGATGAGAAAAGAGACTCTATTTCCCCAGGCCATCCTCTACAGCCAGAAACCTGGCCCCAAGATGGTTCCCTCCTCCACTCCCACTCCCACTCCTCCTACTGCCAGATATCTGCCCCCAGGATGGTTCCTACTCCCACCCCCACTCTACCTACTGCCTGAGACCTGGGTCCAGCATGGTTCTTCCACACCCCCCCCACCCACTCCCTCAACTGCCATATGTCTGGCCCCAGAACGGTTCCTCCCCACCCCCACCCCACTCCCTCAAATGCCAGATATCTGGCCCCAGGATGGTTCCCACCCCCACCCCCACTCCCTCAACTGCCAGATATCTGCCTCCAGGATGTTTCCCCCCCCCACTCCCTCAACCCTATTTACCTGGCCCCAGTATGGTTCCTCTCTCCCACCCCCACTCCCCCTATTGCCTGATATCTGGTCCCAGGATGGTTCCCCCCTCTACCCTCCATTCCCACTCCCTCTACTGCCAAATACCTGCCCCCAAGATGGTTCCTACCCCCTTCCCCACTCCACCTACTACCTGAGACCTAGTCCCAGGATGGTTCCTCCCCCTCAACCCACTCCCTGAACTGCCAGATATCTGCCCCCAGGATGGTTCCTCCCCCTCTCCACTCTCACTCCTTCACTCTCCTCACACACATCACCCCCTTACCTCACCCCCTTCTCCAACATGTGAGGCCAGGCTTGTCTCTTCAATTCCCAGTTTGCACTGGAAATCCTACCTCACTACTTAGCACAGTAGCTCTCTCTCCCTTGGGTTTCCTCCCCATCATGCCTCTTTCCTGCTCTTGCCCTTATAGCTCAACACAAAGTTACTGATTACAACCACAGAATCCCTTCCTGCCACCAGGTATGAACCTGAATTCTGCTGCTCTGTGGGGCTAAATCTATGTCTCATATCCAGAGTCCTGGCTGTGAAGAGGCAGGAATGTTCACAGCCTGCCCATCTCTTCTCAGTAGCAGTTGCAGATAATCCCAACATTTCCTCTGTGTGCCAGAGAGCCCATAGCCTCAACTTGAGGTTTACAATTGGCTAAGGGAGGGAAGGGCCTTCATTAGCCAAGGGCCATTCAAGTGGACATTAGGTTTGTCTGTCCAATCCTCATCTTCCCTCTGTGTCTTTCTCTCTCCCCAATCCCATTGCCCTTTCACCGTTCTGCCATATAAAGATCAGTTAACGAAAATTCAATGAGCATCTATTAAGTTTCTACAATTTGCAAGGCATTGTTCTAGATTCTGAAAATTTAAGGACAAAAATAAAGCTTCTTGCTCTGAAGGAGTTTACATTCTACTGGAAAAAAATGAGAATGTTCAGCCTTGAGGAGACTCAATGGGATCAGAAAGCTTAACTTCAAGTAAACTTGTCTTTAGCACAGTGTGGCACATTGAAGGTGCTTAATAAATGTTCAATTGGGGCAGCTAGGTGGCACAGTGGATAAAGCACCGGCCTTGGAGTCAGGAGGACCTGAGTTCAAATCCGGCCTCAGACACGTAACACTTACTAGCTATGTGACTTTGAGCAAGTCACTTAACCCCAATTGCCTCCCCCCCCCCCCCCAAAAAATGCTCAGGGACTTGACTTGTGATTGGGACCAGAAGCCAGAGCTAAGAACTTTGGGGAGAAGTAAGAAAGTTATCTTGATGAAAAAAAGGACTTCTGAACTGTCCCAAGTGACAGAGCCCAGAGGAGGTCAGGCTAAGACCAACTGCCTTGTCCATGGTATTGTACAGCATTCTTCTGGATCACGTAGGCATTGAACTTGATCCTCTAAGGACTTTTTCCACCCTGAAACTCTGGGATTCTATGAAATCATAAGCCCTTTCATGGTGCTTTGAGATCACTAGAAGACAAGAGTAATACATTAAAGGCACAAGTATAGGTAAAGAGAAGACACAACTGTCCCTCGTTGCTGACCACATGATGGTTAACAAAGTGCTTTGAGATCCTGAAATGGCTAGGGAGCTGAAGGCTACCCTTCTTCCTCAGATGTGGTACCTGGGGAAATTGAGCCTGCTTCCCTATCTAGACTCTGGGTATGCAGACTGAGAGAGGGGAAAAACACACCAATTTTCTCCCTAGTCTGACTATCCTAGCAGGAAACCTGATGTAGGGGTGAGATACAGACTGGGAGTCACAAGATGTGGGTCCTATTTCTGTCCCTTACTAGCTGTGTGACCTTAGGTAAGTCACTTAGACTACATCTGTAAAATGGGGTTAATAATATTACACTACCTACCTTTCAATTCAGGAAAGTGCCAGGTGATACAATGGACAGAGTGTTAGACTTTGAGTCAGGAAGATCTGAATTCGAATCCTGCCTTAGACACTGCTTATGTGACCCTGGGCATCCCTTTCTCAGCTTCATTTTCCTCATCTGTAAAATCATGTGTAATCATAGCACCTACCTCCCAGAATTATTGTAAGAACAAAACCTCTCAGAGTTATTATGAGCACAGCGCCTGGCACATAGTAGGTACTTTATAAATATTTATTGGATTGGACCGAAATGAAGTAATATATGTAAAGTGCTTTGCAACCCTTAAAGTTATGTAAATGCTAGCTACTGGATTATAATTATTATACATATGTCCACCAGCTGGTGTCAGCAATATTCCCACCATCCCCCTTCATATGGAGAAAGTCAACCCCCAGGAATCCCAAGAACTCCAGCCATGTAATGAGATACCCAGATATCTGCATGGTACCAGAATTGAAGATTCCACACAAGGACTGGGAGTAAGATAGCAATGGATGAAACAGGCACAGTATCCCTAATCAAGGGTTTGGGCAAGGCAGTGGGTATAGGAAGGGGTCAACTATGCCACTTGATCCAGTCCCTTCTCCCCTCCAAGATGTCTAACTCCACAACTGAACACAACCTTGGGAAGAAGGAAAACCAGACGAGAGGGAGGAGATCACATGGGCAGAGAGGCTAACTGGGAAAATTGTCACTCTAAACCATCCAGCCCACCACAAACAGAAATAACCACTGGGATAATGAATAATGTCAAGGAAGAGTCAGACTCGAGGCTAAATTCAACCAACTCTCTAACTCTTAGAGAATGCACTTTGAGTCTTTCCCACCATGATTGTTTCCCTGACCTCTAGTAAAATAAGGTCTCTGGGGAAGGGGGGTGAGGAGGGGCCATGATTTTTGGAATATAGGAATGACAGGGGAGACTGGAGAAAGGGAGGCAGGACTACCCATCCCATTTGCCCAGCCAGGTCCTGTAACATTCGAAAACACAGAGTTAAATTCTCAACACAAAAGACCCAAGTGTCTGCAGACCACCTCATACGTCCCTTGAAGTGGCAGAGGCTAAAGGTGGGTAGCAAGTCTGACAAGAGAGCGAGGGGCTGCAAGGGAGTTCCACACATTCCCCCAACTCTTCTCCTGGATCTGGAGAGAGCAGCCCTGTGAACATGCCTCCTGGACCTCATGTCAGGCCTCATCCTCTGAATTCCTTTCTGTCTCCTTGGGTTGGCAGGACCTCACCCACAGCCTGAGTTCTCCCATGGAGGCTGAACAGGTCTATGCAGCTCAGGTGAGGGGATATGAAGGCCCCAATGACAGAGAGGGGTGGGGAAAATTCAGATTCTAAATCCCAGTTGTGTCCAGAATAATCATGGATCAATCTCCTCTCTAACCCCCCCAAACCCCAAAGCACATTCCTTTTTTCTTTGCCTTTCCCCTCCACACCCAGCCACCACCCTTACATGGGTCATGAGGGACCATAGTGAAGCATTCCCCATCTTGGTGAGGACTGAGGCCTAACTTTTTTTGTGGATCCTCCAGGCCTTGGGTAAACTGAGAATCAGCAAGACGTTTATCATAGAAGCACTCTGGGCCTCGGTGAGTTGAAGAGGAAAATCAACCTTGGACTGCAAGAAAAACAGCATAGAGAAATGGGGACATGTAGGTCCTTTTGAGATAGTGACAAGTTTGGAACTGGCCACAAGCATGGGCTACCCTGGGTGGAGAAGCAAGAGGGAGAAGGGAGCTCAGTCTCCTTAAGTCAAGTAGAATGAAGGGAGAACTCAGGAACACCTTCTCTGGAGCCCCATAGTAAAGGGTGATGAGGAGACACAAATAAGTGTTTTGCTCATGTCCCTATTGCTTTACTCCCTTGAGTGGGTTTGGAAATACCAGGGGACAAAGGAATGAGGGAGGTTGCTGACCCCCAACTCTCTAACTCCTAACAGGCCCAGGTAGGTCCTGAGAGAGTGAGGTATGAATCCAGCAGAACCCTTGCTCTCCTAGGTAAGTAGGTCCTCTCTCCACGGGGGAAGGCAAGAAGGGACTACAGTATTGTAATAATAGCTCACATTTGTACAGAACTGTGAGAGCACTTTAAGAGCATTCTTTACATAGAGCACTTTACACATACCATTCAACAACCCTGGAAGGTAGGTGTTATTGTTATTCCCATTTTGCGGACGATGTAACTGAGGCAAATTCTTAGGGAGAGTGGTTGAGAGAGCGTGGTTCCAATGAGCGCCTGAACAGGGGGTAGAGTGGAGGGAAGGGACCTTTACTGTGCCTTGGAGGACAATGTTCCCCTGGGCTGTCTCTTACCTAAAGCCTCTCCTGTCTAGGCTGCCTACATAAACATGTGATCCTGTCTCTCATTGAACAACTAAAGGGATGCTCCCTTAGTCGGAGGATGGACACTCTGATGGGACTTCATATGGCCCTCAATGCCTGGATCATGCTCTCCAAAAACAAGGTAATTGGGGAAGGGGAGGGTGAGACAAAATTCACCGGGTGCCAGGTGGGGCAGGAAGTAAGAAAGAAAATAAAGCAGCTGGTAGAAACGAGAATAGGGGAAAGCCAATCTGAGGGGACGAGAGAGTAAGGTAGGTGGTAATGAGAATATAACCTAGGAAACAATGCAGGTATCACATCCAGGCAGAGTCTGGCTTCTCAGATTCACCCATCCATAAATTAACATTTCTTGAGGGTTACTGTGAGAGGAAGCACAAAAGAAAGAGATAAGGTAGTCACCTGTACTAGGAGAAAGATGGAGAAAGGGAAGAGACATTTATTAAGTTCCTACTATATATGCCAGATACTGTACTAAGTGCCTTTTACAAATATCTCATTTGATCCTCACAACAACCCTGGGAAGTAGGTGCTATTTCCTCTTCACTATATAGTTGAAGAAACTGAGGCAGACAGATGTTAAGTGACTTGCCAGGGCCATGTAGCTAATAATTGTCTGAGGTTGGACTTGAACTTAGTTCTTCCTGAATCCAAGCCCAGTGCTCTAAAAATTGTACCACCTCACTCAAATCTTCTTAGGTTGGAAGCTCTATAGAAGGGTAGGGAAGGAGTGTTCTAAGTATTCTATCTCCCAGCCCCAGGGAGATACAAGGAGCACTTCATTGTACTGAAATTCCCAGATAGGTAGAGAGACACAGTCCCTGTTCTCAGGTAGCTCTTAATCTGACCACAGATGACTCAGTACTTGAGCGAGAAGCCAAGGTGTTCACATAAAAGTGCATAAGAATTTGGAGAAGACTCAATATGGGTTGAGATACATGCAGAGTAAGAGAACACTGATTCAAGCTTTAGTAGGAGTCAGGCGTCAGGGTAACAGGAAAAACATCTCCTACTTTCTCATTCACATGCATACACTCCTCCCCAGCAGGAGCCTATAGGGGCCAAGAGCTCGCTGACCAGGGTCCTGAAGTTGCTGGTGTTGGGGAAGAGCCCTACGGACAATGTGGCCCTGGAGGCAGCTCTGTGCCTGAGCTTCCTTGACCCTGAAAATTCCATAGCACGTGAGTTTCTGCTCCAGTGCCTGACCCAAGGAGAAATGAAGAGAAAGAAAAAGGTGTGGGGCTGCAGACAGGGAGGCTGGGCTGGGGAATCTTCCATCACAACCAAGGTTGTCCTTCCTTTGTCCAAGAAGGCCAACACATGCCCTAGTCCCTTCTGGCTGTGTCTTCCAATGGGAAATCAGTCGGTAAACATTTATTAAGTACCTACTGTGTGTCAGGCACTGTGCTAAGTGCTGGGGATACAAAAAAGGACAAAAAAAAACCAGTCTCTGCCCACAAGGAACTGAGAGTCTAATGGGGGAGATGATGAAGGAGAGGGGGAATGGGGCAGAGATCTGAGAAACCAGAGCAAGGAGCTAAGTGAGCTCTAGGTTTGCCCATTCTTGAGTTGATTGCAACATCAGGGAACATGTGTCTGACGTGTGTGTATTTAGTGTGTGAGTGTGTGTGTTCACACTGAGAAGCCCTCGAGATTAAGGAGTGCTCACTGCCCCCCTTCCTCCTTTAACAACCACCCCACCCCACCCTGATTCACCACCCAGTTTTGCTCCATCTCCAGAGAAGGCAGACTTGGTACTGGGAAGAGCACACTGGATTTGGAGCCAGACAAGCTGGCTTTGAATCCCAGCTCTCATATTTACTTCTCTGTGGAGCCTTGGACAAGTCATCATTAAGCTCTTCTAGGCCTGTTTTCTTATCCACAAACTATGTATGTGTTGGAGCTGGTATATGAGAGGAGGGGGG